CGGCAACGAAGGCGGAAACTGCGTGTGACAGGATTAGGGATTGACAAAACCCGAGGATTTGCTACATAGAAAATAGAGCATGCCACCCAAATAACAATAGAGCTCACTTCGATCTCTTCACCTCATCCATTTACTTTCAACCAGCTTTGACTGGGCAAAGGCCCAACCAGCGAACTGAGCTAACCCAGCTACTTAGCTGCCGAAGTGGGTGCACGTGAAGCATTTCGTGCCCAAGTGAGATCGGCAGCCTTGAACGTTTCCGGATCACCAAGAATGGTGGCCTTGTTGGCAAAAGCCACCCTACCATCCGAGCCACCTCGTAACCTTCATAGCCTTATTTCACTTGGCGCCAGGTGGCGCCGAGGGACAGGTGGGGAGCAGACCGCAGATTCCATGAAGAACATGCCACCTTTTTGCATCCTAGCCTATACCATAGCACGTTGAACAACACCACGTGAGCACAACAGGGCACAACAGGATCGCTTGTTCAATGGCTGTGCTGATCCTTCAAGTCTGGCAAAAGCATCGCTTTTGTCCTTCCCCGCCTGCTTTCTCTTCACTTCGAATGAGGCAAGCGGACCCAAAAACATGGCCCCCCCCTTTCTCCGTCACGGCGGCGAGTTCCGGGGGTCTCCCCCGTCCTTCAGCTGGTCGAGATCGGCGGTGGTCTCGCGTCCAAAGTCTTTGCCTCCTCCAAGCGCACAGGCTAAAGCAAAGGAAACCAAAAAAGGATTGCGCTTCCACTGGGCCCCGAATGCGGTCGACACCTCTGACATTTTCGTGCCAGCTGGTCACCTGTGGAAGATTGAGAGACCCTGGTCTTCCAACCAAAATGACTCGCAAGGACTCTTCCAAAAATTCCCAACTTGAAACTGTATAAAATTGCATATAGTATGTTCGGCTCATATAACCAAAAACTTGGTCATCAAACTGTGGAATACAACCATTTCAAATGAAAAAATCCAACGACTCGGCTCCGTTCTCAAAGGACCGCCTCGGGGCCCTCCCCGCGGAGAGGCGGCCAGGTTGATGGCCGTGAGCCTTGGAGCCCTCGGCATCGGCAGAGAGCCGAAGGGGCTCCACAACGGCCGGTGTGACCGAACCACCGGGAATTGGTGTTGTCATGATCGATGTGATTCTGTGTGATTTGTTTATGTGTTAATTGGTTGCTTGTATAGGCTGTGAACTACTGCTCGGCAAAAAAACATCCCTCCAAGCCTCTCCGTTTCTTGGGGAGCTTGCCAAATCCACAACTCCCTCGAACTTGAGCCACCTGCCTCCTCCCCATGGGTTGCTGTACTTTTTAACCTTTTTTCAGGGCCATGGGGAATTTCGACCACACCCAACCCGTGGCATCCGTTGCGCCCAGGAACGTGGTGCGGCTCGTCCTCTGAGGAGACTCGGACACCTGCGAGACAATGGACGAACAGGCCTCAACTCTGACTAGACACGCCTCCGATCGATTTCTTTCGTTACCAACAGAGGTTAAGGGGGGGAACCCAGTCCGACTATCCCAATCGGGTACCCCAATAGGGTAGGGTCCTTTGTCAGGTCACTTATATAGCAGACTTATATATAGATAGACTGAGCCACTTAGCCTCTCTCTTGGTCATTACCTAGAGCCTGAGTGACCTCTATTTTGGTAGTGACTTGCCTATCCAAGATATGGTCTTTTCCTATCAAAAGGGTCACTCAGGCTCCAGGTACGTCACTCTTCCTCACCACCTCTGTGAACATGAAGCCGTCGAGCCTGAATCGATGAGCGACTCCACCCTCGCAGAAGGAGACCAATGCCCCACCGACCGGCCGATCGAAGAACCGAAGAACAACCGTCCAACCAGGTCCAACCTCTATTCTGACTGTTGCCCGGCACCGGTCAACGGATCCAGTCACCTCTTGACCCCCGTGCCGCTGGGTGTGGCAGAAACCGCCGCGTCGTGTTTCGGGTGTTTCCACCCGGTACCTGTGAAACGCTGATGCGTGGCCCGCGAAGTCCCGCCAGTGAACTTGGGCTGCCACCTGGAGTGTAGCCAGGACCAGTCCATGAGGGGTCTGGACTCACAGTGAGACCCATTGCAGGGCCGAGACCCTCCAAAATGAATCAAAAGGTGAAACTCTTGGCCCTCTCAACGTGTTCCAACGGCTCTAGATCGCCATGAAATCCACAGAAGTGGCAGGACCCTGAAAGTGGATGCAACTGAGACCAAGCGCCAGCTTGGCGGAACCAAGGACCTTCCCTCCGCAAGTGTCTCGTGTCTCGTGTCTCGCGCCTGCATCTCGGTCTCTTCGACCCCTGCCCAAGCTGACCAACCCGGGTCTGGCTTGGAAGTGGTGTGCATTTTGCGTTCAGTGGTCCACATTGCAATGGAGGTTCTGAGCGATTATATATGACTTACCCTAGGCAAATGACCAAACCATGCCGAAGTTCTCGATGGCGATGCTTGCAGGTCTTGGATCGTAGCCGCTGTCGCCCCGACAACGACCTGCCCCCCGAAGCCCGTCCATCCAAGCACCATCCGCAACCCTTGCAATTCTTGCGGAGTTCCTTTCTGAGATTCCGGCGTGCGCCAAAACCGCATGCTTCCGCCCAAAAGTGCCGTCCAACAAATCGCCCAACCAATCGCCTCCGGGAGGAGGGCCGGTAGTTCCGCTCAAAGTCTGCTTCGAGGTAGGGCCGCGGCGTGATGGCGGTGAAGCTCTTGAGCGTGGTTCCGCCTCCCACCCGCCGCACATTGATGGCTCGAAACAAAGAGAATTGGCCAGGGCGGGCGGTGTGGGTGATGGGATGAGTTCAGGACAACTTCAGTGCAACAGCTCCTAGAACAAGCTTTCCTGTCACACCCTCCCCCCCTCCTTCCCTTTGATGCGTACTCAGGCACACATCGGGCTTGGTTGCGGGGCTCCGTGCTCGGCCAAGAGCCCTTGGCCGTGTGAGGGGCTCGAGATTTGAGGAACATGCCAGCCGCCGAAGCCCGGTCAGTCTCCGGAAGCCCCCCCCGTCGAAACCGCGGCTTCTCCGCAATGCGCATTTGAGTTGAAATGTGTGTGTGTGTGTGTCAACGCCTGTTCTACCACTCACACTCTTTTAAAGGCAGGGGGGCAGTGAATCTCATTCCATCCACTGCCCAACGAAGACGGTGGTCTGAGATTGTGATATTCTCGAGGGACGCCTTTGGAACATACCTGCATTTCATGTCTCCCGTTTCACCCATGTTAAACCATACAGTTGAAGCGGACTCCTTCACCTTACCGTTTTGCAAGTCAAGGTCTACTGCACCGGCAATGTAATCGCTAGAGTGGGCTACCTTCACGGATTTAGCTCTTGCGAGCATCAATCTAAGTGTGTTCGAATCCATTCGCATTCTCCCAAGACCCCAAAAACCCGCCAAACCCAGCAAAAACCGTTCGCCAAACGAGGGCTCACCCCTCCGTCCGTCGTCTGCCGGCCCAGGCACCATCCAGGAAGGCGCCGTAGTTCTCCTCGAAGAATTCCACCAACTGCTGCGGCTTCACCTGGCGGTGCCGGAGATGGCTGTGCTGGACTCCGTCGTGCCCTGCAGGAGAGGTGAAAAAGGTGCTCGTGATGGTCTGGTCGAAGGGGGTACCGTTCTTGGAACTTGTTTAACTTAGATTATATACCTAGCCCACCACTAGGTGATGTGGACAGGTGGAACATTCTGAGATCCATGCGCAGATCAACCTGGTTCGGGAGAAACTCACTGTCCCCAACATGTTACCCCCACTCTGGCCGTCCAGCGCAGAAGGTTTCTCGAGTGTCCTGACCTTCTCGACGAATATTCACAAGTCTCCACTGTCAGAAGCCGCCAGGTGGAAAGCCGAACCTCCTCCATGAAACCTGCCCAACCGGCCCAGCCCCGCTCTTCTTGAAGCCCCGCCATCCGAATGGGCTCCGCTGCTGTTAGGCCGCTTGAGGATTCCAAACGCAGCCTGGAGGCTTCCAACCGAAGAGCCCAAACGGACTGGGGTGCACAGTCTTGGACTTGGCAAAACGCCTAAACCCCCGGCGTTTGTGTCGTTTGGTGCCCTTTGGAGTCCTGGACCAGTATGGTACAGCAGGCTCTCCTTCTCACTTGGGCCGTTGGGGGGAAAGGCTCGGCCAGCGAAGAGGAGCGGTTCCGACCCGACCAGGTTGACGGAGGAAAACATGCAGGTCGAGGGACGTGCTCTTCGTGCTATCTACTTTAAGATGCTCAAAAGGTTACCCTTCCAACCTCCCAGAAATGATCCAAATGGTTTGTTTATCGTGTTTTTATTATGTTTTTAATTGTGTTTTTTTTCTTTGCTCATCACTCACCCTGCGGCACTCAGTTCTCTCCAAGCTTCGGTGGTGGTGGGGGTCGATGAAAGGCCGTCGCCATGGGAGGAACCGACTCCGCCCACGACACGCCCGGTCTTCGGGCGGTGTCCGTCGGCGGCGACTTTGCTTGGGGTGGTAGAACTGACCATTCGGTGCTTTTATTTACATCTCTTGTATAACATGCTTCTGGACAGCCCTAGCTAGGTCCAGCGAACGGATCTACTAGCTGTGCCTTGAAAACATGGGGAGTTTGGGTTCGTGCATGTCCGCAAAGGAGGGCACGATCCATTCAGTGGACAAAACAGCTGATGATTCTGAGTCAGGCGCTATGCCATTCATACATCTTGACCTTGTGTAGCCTGGCTCCTTCCTCGGGCCCCTGGCGGCAGCGAATGTCCGTCACGCCCCACCGGCGCTGCGCGTCCCACTCGAAGGCCGACGGCACCAACATTGCTCCGCACCAAGACCCAGCAAGGGGCGGCGCACCGTGCGCACCCATCAAACAGCATGAAGCCGAAGCCACTCACCACACAAAAGCCCTGGGAGGCAGCCCTCGAAACCACATGAAAGCACCACATGCCAGCATGGGTTCTGGCGGCGATCATGCAGGCTCCTTGGCCTGTTGTTCGAGCAAGGCCTGGACACGCGAAATGGCTGAAACCTTTCTTTTTCTCCGCCCCATCGTCAAAAGCGCAGTCACTGAAGTGGACTCTAAAAGACCCCGCACGGACTCACTCTTCGTGCTTGCGTTTTCGGGCAGAGCTTCCCCCAGCCCTCGGCGCGGAAACCCATCCAAACAGCAGGCTCCAACAAAACCAGAGATCACCCAAGACCTTGCATGCAGGGTGCAAACATAGACACTCAAACAACCGCGTAGCAAAACCCCGTAGCAAACCGTACTCAAGAGTTCTCCCTTGCATAGCCGCGGTCCGACCCCTGCTTGGCATGTTCAAGTTTCGCTGTCTTTTTTCGAAGCCGGATCATGTTGATTTTGTCACCATTCAATTCTGATGCCTCCCTGTTTGTGGAGCCTGGAGCTTTGAGTGCAGTGGGCTTTTGCAACTCCTCAAAACCTCTGAGAGGCAACGCTTCACCGCTACCCCCCCCGAAATGACAAACTGCGCAAATGAAAAAAGAAGGATCAATTTACTTCTGCTGCTACATGGTCGAACTACTCAGACGCCGAAATCAACTGAAGCTCCCGAAGCTCCTCCCCTGGATCCCCCACTCTCCCGTCCCAAACGGCATCCCCGGTAGTACCAAGGAACATCTTGTACAACTCATCCCTGTACTTGAGAACGGCATCCTCACATTCGACTCATCACCCGACCCAAACCCGCCTTCGTTTGGACCCACTGGGGGGGCGTGCGGCTGCCGCGGGGTTCTCATCGCTTCGATCGCCGGTCGTTCGTGATGCGATTGTTCCAAGCGTCCGACTGCTCAGGGCGATCGGAACGCCGTGCACTTCGATCGTCAATCCCACAGGGATGGACCCAAAGATCTACATATTACATGCTCATCCGCTTTATCTGATCTGGGAAAGAAGCACGAGGCGTGTCACCAGCAGAAGCTGGGTGGAGACTCCAGGTCAAACGGTGTGGAGGAGTCCCAGTCGTCACCGGCGCGAGTCGTCACAGTTGCGGGTCGTCACGGTGAGTTGCGGGTCGTCTTGCAGCAAGTTGCTTTATTTTTTCCCGATTGCAGCATTTCCCAGCAAAGCCTCAGATGCTCGGGGATGCTCGCGTTGACTCCGGACCCATTACATGAAGACTGTCTAATGGAGGTCTTGAAGCTCCATGGCTCTTCGTTTGTTTCAAGTATAATCAGGTACTTCGAGCTAATCAAACGTATGCTCTTCAAATAGTTATCGTCTTGATTCTTGAGTCTTGTCTTCACAAAAATTGAGCTGAGAAGCCGAGCGATTCGCTCCGCTTGCAACACATTCCCGGCTGCCTTGACGGTGGTCTGGAAGGGAAAGTTGGTTCCATCCTGGCACCCAAACGCAGCTGGTTATTAGTGGTTGCAACTCACCTGGCAAATATAAGGTCATCAATCATCCGACGAAGAGGTTGAAAATCGAAATATCTGAAACCCCACCCAAGCAGCACCACAAGAACCGGCACCTCGGCACCCCAGAAAAGGAACTGTGCCGTGCTTTCCAGCCAAGTACGGGCAGCCGTTGTCCCGCCCCGCTGCGTTCCCCGCGCGCGCTCCTTTTTGTGGAAGACAAAGGCCACCAAAGGCGAAGGATGAGACAGTTGGACCTCACGGCACTCTCAACGACTCCTTTGGCGTTGCTCCATGCGTTCAGCGCACGAAGGGATCTAAAGGCCCTTTGGGCTGTTGAACCTCCTCACTTCCCCCCCACTACCATCGGCCGACCGGGACACAGCACGTGTCGGATCCTTTGGAACCTCCGGGACACTCGCTGCGAACGTCGGGCCGGCACATCCGGGCCTTGCAGTACTTCCAGGCTTCGCTGCTGTCCTTCACGTCCTGCCGGAGCGCGGAGCGCGCGGGTCGCGCCCAGGTTGCCAAATCGACGTTGCCCTCGCAGCGGAGCGGCCTTCCCTTGCACATAGTCTTTGGCCAACTCATCGCGGAACTTGGCCGCCTCCTTCTCAGATGCACCAGATTTCACCTGCCTAAGATGATGTTCTGCTTCCTTTCTTGTGTTTTTGTCATGTTTTTGTTTAAGCGGTGATGAAGAGTACTCCTGAAGGTGTTCAAGGATGCGCTCTCTCTCTCTCTCTCTCTTTCTTTTTGCACCGTGGTTGCTGGCAAAAAGCTTACACAGCCGATAGTTCTGGAAGAAAAACAGTCAAGATACCGAAGATTGAACCATTGGCCCACAGGGACTTCCACCGTCTCCGGACCCTCTCCCTATTTTTCGACTTCGGAGAGAAAATCCATAGATGACGACAAGCATCTGCATCATCATGATGGCAACACGTTGGGCAACCTTCAGCCAATTGCCAGTGTAGGCTCACTGCTTGCATTCTTGCTCACTGACCATGTGTGGGACAAAAAGCGTCCAATGGCCTTCAACGACTGGAAGGCTTTGATGTTCACGGACAGCTTCACCGTCCGCCCATCGTGTCGAAATTCACCTAGGCTTTGCGTGCAAGTGTTCGGAGGCAAATAGCTCGATCAAGTGGCTTCCACCGTAATCGTGGTATCCACTAGGGGCTCTAGAACTGGAGCGCCTAGTGGGGCAAGCATGCCGCATGTCATGTTCAGCACGCTGGGACCAGACTGTTTGAGAAGGAAACCGGAGATTCAAAAATTAAAAAATAAGACATCAGCACCAAGGGCACAATTCACCGACGTCTTGTCATTCGAAAGGGCATCTTCAGCTTGAAATCGTGTCGTCTCCTCTGTTCGCATCGTCCTCAGCCACAGTTAGTTGGACAACCCGCAGTGAACGGCACACTCCCACACGGAACTCAACGCCAAGAGCTTCGCACCCATGTGCTGGCCATGAGACCCTGTATACCATCCTTAAACCCTTCTGGAACCTCATGTGTGCCTGAGTGATACGCTGGAAGCACCCGCATCTGCCCCTCTTCTCCCAAAAACTGCGCGACAGTGTAGACCTGTCATCCAGGTTCTGGTTCACTCACCCAAGGATCAGCATGTCACGATATACTGCCCCAGTATATAACTCTATATATAGAGTGATTCCAAGCCACTCAAGAAAAGCTGGGAACCCAAAAAGAGTCCTTCATCACTTCCGTGTCAAGGTGCGCATCATCAGGGAGGCCATACACGTTCCGTGCCCACGTGTGGCGGAACTGTCGGTACTCACAAAGCTGGACCTGAAGCGACACGGCTGGACCGGAAAACGAACCGCACGCCCCCAAAAAATGAGCGAAACATGAACACGTGGCTTCAAAGGTTTGCAATGATAGTATGGAGCCAAGCCCAACAAGAAGAAGTGGGACATGCTTGCACCTTCAGTCTGTTGGATGGAATGCTTCATGAATGAGTCTGATATCTGCATGCTTGCAGCCGCAGCCATGGACAGATGCTTCACATGCTTCACATCCAAACTCTGAACGAACAGTGCCTGGAGTGTTGAGGCACTCATGTGGTGTTTCTTTGTGTCCGCTTGCTTCACCACCTCGGAGCTTCTCCGCCGAGCTGGCGCTGGCCGGGGGCGGAAGGCGGAAGGCGGAGCGCAACAGCCGGGGACCCAAGGAAAAATACGAGAGCAAGATGCGCTGAAGGCAAAAAGTTTCTTGAAAACAGAAAACACATGAAAACACCAACGGTGTTTCTTTTGTTTGAAATCACGACGGTTTGTTGTACTTCTTCCTGACTTGAGGATTTCTCCTCCCTTTTCCAGGTCAGTTAGGTGCCAACCAAAACAGTCACCCGTGGCGCTGAGCGCGACACCAAAGGCAAATGGCGGAACTTCTGACGCATCGATGTCTCGACCTGTCCGGTTTCGACCGCCCCGGTGACGGCCGAAAGCGATGCGAGGTCCCGCCGCGTAAGGGCCTCCGTCAAATACTTCCAAAAGTGCTTGGCAGAAGCCTGGAGGAGTCTTCGAAGTGATACCAATGCTCCAAACCAAAAGAGGAAAAGAGAGAGAGAGAGAGAGAAAAACAAAAAAATGGAAAACTATGTGTATGTGTATGTACATATATAAGCTATAACCGTCTGGTTGCAAGTGTTTTGGTGTGTTAAGAGGTTCTCTAAAACATACTTGGCGGCATTGATTGGCCCATCTTCTCTTGACTCTTGACTTAACTTACAAGTGGCATGTAATACACCTCTCGTCTAGCACAAAACACAGAGGTTCTTGGAAAAACTGCTGACTTCGCCCAGAAGCGCTCTGCGACTTGTTCACTTTCCCCAGCAGCTCTCGCAAGGCAGACCGTCGGTCCGGCAACTTCCTGACACTGCGGCGGCGCCGCGTTGGACGGAGGCGACGGAGTCGACGGAGCCGAGCGGCGCGTTGCCCAGAAGGCATTGCAGGGGAGGAGCTGCGCCCACACCGACATCGCAATCCTCGGGAAACGCGGTTCGCCACTTAGAAGTGAAGATCCCCAGTCACAAAGTCATCAAAAGAATCCGAGGGGGAAAACAAGGTCACGCCCGCTGCAACGGCCCCAGCGACTTGCACGCTTTCACACGCAGCTTCGAGTCGTTTTTAACAACCCCTCTGGCACTTTATGGCGCTGCCTGTTTTAGCTCAGTGTCATTTTGTATGTGTTTTTACACCATATCACGCCTCTCGATTCGTAAATCCATGGTGAATTGAGAGTTCGTTCGGAGACCTGGAAGTCAAAAAACAGATATTTTATGTTTTCTGTTGTTTCACTAACATTAACACATTTCCACTCTTTCAGCTTTTGAGGCATGCCACTCCTTCTGTGCCATCTGACCCAACTTCTGCAGTTGTTGCTTTGACGGTGTATTACACAGCGCCACACAAAGCTATACATATATTCTTGGATCTGTGCATTCAACCCGCCATTGGACCGCTTGGATGCCAACTCTCTGGGCTTGCAAGTGCAAGCGAACGTTAACAAACCCCACCCCACCCCACCCCATCCCCACCCCACCCCATCCCCAACGTAGCATCAACTTGGTTTGCAAGTGCAAGCAATCGTTGACAGACCCCACCCCACCAGACCCCATCCCGACCCCACCCCAGCCCCAACGTAGTACCAACTTGGTTTGCAAGTGCAAGCGAACGTTAACAGACCCCACCCCACCCCACCCATCCCCAACCCAGCCCATCCCCAACGTAGTATCAACTTGGTAGCATCAACTTGGTTCGCATGTGCCAGCGAACGTTAACAAACTCCACCCCACCCACCCCATCCCCATCCCCACCCCATACCCAACGTAGCATCAACTTGGCGAATGGTAAAAACGTGGAAATTCTCGGGGTCGTTAGGGGGGCGTGAGCGAAAACAAGGCAAAGAATCAAGAATGGCTGCAGCTAGATATGTAAAGAAGTGAGCTTACAGGGCGCCCAGCAATCCGCGACATCAACAAAATCTTGTTGAGAAGTACACTTGCAAGTGCTTGGTGTTTGTCACATCCGGATTTTTGTAAATGGAGTTGTGTCACAAAATGTCAGTAAGTGTTCGGCGCTGTGCGGCATCGCCTCAAATTGTTGAATTCCTTGCATAGCGCTTTATTCTAATCTATTCTATTTCCCTTTTGCCTTCCCGATGCTGCCCCAGCTGCGGCATCCAGAATCTTCTCCTTTGGGTACCTCAGCCGAACACGACGCGGCAGCCTTTCGCTGCACAGATCACCCGGAACTGGCATTGGCACTTGCTCTCAGCGCGTGATCTTGCACTCTTGCACCGGCACCGCAAAAATTCCACCCCCTGTGGCGATGCGCGTTTGAAGCGATTGGAAAATGACCAAAGAATCCGAAAAACACAACCAACCACCAGCGACTGAGAAGCATTGTGCCCCTCAGTTGCAGCAGAGAGCTTCAAAACACCCCATCTTAAAGCATTGTAGGAGAGTGTACTATGTAATTTTACGAGGGAGATTGCACCAAAACAAGGCAATGCAGATCAGAAGGAAAATGTGGACAGCGTCACAAGAGTCTTGCCGGAGAAGGTTGTTTCGCTATTTGATCAAACTCCACTGTGATGTGAAGCACCTGGTAGAAATTTGAGAGAGGTCACGCACGTCTGTGCCAACAACAGCTCTGACACCATGATGGTCAACCTGCCGTTCGACCCGCTCTTAAAAACCTCGTCCATGGCGTATTCCCCTTTGCATGATCGACCCCTAGAGGCTTCTTTTCAGCTTCCAGCTTCTTCACATGGCCAAGTCTAAGGATTTTGGCACCATGTTGACGGACACCGGTGACACCATGGGCCACCTGGGCCGGTCCGGGGTCGACCCCGGTGGACAACGAGACACGTGCCGAAACCTGTCCTGCCCAGTCACGCCAAATCGATGCAAACGGTGAGCATCTTGGCCCATGTGTCGCCACAGCCTGAGTTCCGATTGGAAAGATGGAAAATCGAAAAATCCTGGTGCAAAAAGAAAGTTGGAACTTGGAACTTGGATGAACATGTGGAACATATTGGAACATGGTCCTGGAAAAGTGTTTGCATGATGATGAGCTTCAGCATCAAAAAGCATCATATAGCCACATGGCCTGAATCTAAGTGATTGAATCATATTGAATAGAGAGAGAGAGAGAGGCCACACAATGCAATATACAGGCCTTCGCACCACTGCACAAACATCTGCCACTGCGCTCACATTACTACTCTAATGCATCACTGGCAGCCCTCCGTTGATTGGATCATCTCCGAGATGTCTGCCAATTTGTCTTTGGCCGACAGCTTCTTGTTCTGCACCGTCGAGCGGTGGCTTTGGGTGCGTAACAAAGCACCCAGCTCGGAGCGGCCGATTCTGCACATGAACCCCATTCTGCTTTACCAGACTCTTCCACACCAACTAGGACCTTCTTGCAGCACCGCTCCAGTCATGACCGCACAGGCGTTCCACCTCTTCCGCCGCTCCAGTCATGACTGCGGCGCGGATGGCACCTGGACGACCTCGTAGGCTTTGTCCGCCATCTTCAGCAGCCGGGCAGACCTGCCGTCGCTCGGACTCTGCCGCGGGGGGAGAAGGGCGGAGCCGCGGAGAGCAGGGCGGAGAGTAGAGGATCGGGATCAAACAGAATCTGGGTGATACAAATGGAGGTGTCTGTTCATATGTTATGTATACATATATATATATACATAACTGGGTCCCAAAAGAATGAAGATCTTGGAGCTGAAAAGGAAAGAAAGGGAGTCAGAAGAAGCGTGCTAAGCTTCGGATGGACACTGAGGCGGGTGGTCAGCCTTGTCACAATGCTCCGGACCAGGTTTGCATCATTGTCCTGACCAGGCAGCAAAAGGTGGGCGCCTCTCCGACGTTTCACGCCAGTCACATGTCTCGGTTCTCGAAAATAGTGCTTTAACGCGTCAGTGGTACAACAAAACGAACATGATTACCTAAAACACCTCACCATGCAACAAAAGGCCTGTCCTTCAAGACTCTTTCTGGAATAATGCGAAAGCAATTTGTGAGGAGCGGATTGCCTGTCTTTTTTCGGTACCTCAGTAAGTGTGAAGAGGAACCCCTTCTGTCCAGCACATTCCAGCTTGCTGGAAAGGCACCATCAACCACAGGAAAGTTGAACCTTAGCTTAAACCTTTGCTGAGGTGCTCGCCTTCACACAATCATGAACCCAAAAAGGTGCCTACATGTGCCTACTTGTGCCATGTCTTCCTCTTGGGTTGGAGACCTGTCCCGGCACGAACTCTTCATTGGGCACTCTACCGGGTTGAAACCGAATGTTCATTGGGGACCTGCTCTCAGGTATGGGATCTTGATCTACAGCGATGCAAGCTATGCAGCGATTTGTGGCAGGTGTTCTATGCATGTCTATGAGTTCATCTAAACTTAAAGCATCCTCGGCGACTCGGCACTTCATCAGCACTTCATCGGGTTTAGGTATCACTTCAGTCTGCTCGGTTCGTCGAGCCGGGCTCCGAACAAGCCGAGGGGCGACAGGATGGCCTTTTCCATCCGGCCCTCGGGCTCGAAAGCTTTCACAGGGTTCTTCCTCAGATGCGCAAAGGACGGAGCGTGGCTGTGGCGAAGAGAAAGGAGCTTGTCTAAGGCCTGGGGACCTGGGGAAGCTCCAGGTAGTAAACATGGCAATCCAGGAAATTGAGTAGAGGTTCTATTTGGAAATGCCAGCATGCCACAAGCAAGGACAGATAAGTGTGACGAGAATGCACAACTAAACCTTCTTTATCCGGATGCAAGCTCAGGGTCCAAAACTCCTTCTTCATGAGCGGAACTTGTGCTTGACTGAAAAGGTCACGCTTGCAGTGCGCTCGGAAAACGAAGATGGCCAAGAATTTCCTGAGGTCCACGATGGTGCCGATTCTCCAAGCACAGCCAAGAATCCGAAAATGTCAGGGTGCACTGAAAAAAGCATACAGCTCAGCCGACCTTGGAAAATAGCTCGGCTTCCAAAAAGACATGCACATTCACGCACATTGGGCATAACTGTTCTATCTTCCTCAAATCCCAGGTGTCTTGTACGTCCTTGGCCTTGGCCTGACCTGGCACCCCCCCGTCCCACTCCGCACGGCCCAAGGAACTGCTTTTCCGTCCAATCTGTGCGGCTGTGCACCGCCTCACGACACTTGAGCCGTTGAGCCAGTGCCATTCCCCTGGCAGGCTTGTTCAAAGCACCTCCGGCCTCCATCAGAAAGAGTTCGTGCACCCCCAGCACCGTGTGGTACGGCACCCATCTCTCGGTGTTCCTGGGAGGGTCAGAGAACTGAAAACTGCACAGTTCAAGCAAAAGCAATTGAGTTCATGGTCCATGGTGCATGAACGGCCCTGTTGATTTCCGACACGAGATGGAACTGGTCAGGCTCTTCTTTTCACACTGCTGCTTCTGCCACCCAAGGGTCCCCAAGTTGGGCTTCACGTGCTCATGGACGTGAGGAAAAAGAGCCTGAAGACGAAGAGCTGCTTTTGATCCCAATCCGAGCGGCTCGGATCGCAAAATCGAGGATGTTTTTCGGCTACTCTCCACCCAAGGATGGTACATTCATGGGTGTGGCGCGCGCAAAGCCCATGGAGGTTCACCTAGTTACTTATATAGTTGCTTCAGTGGAAACAGGAGGTGAAGTTTACACTCTCCCTGGCCATGGTGGAAGTGGATGGCATGGTCCCGAGTTGGAAGGACCGTTTTTCTCCAGAAGCAGGTGGTGAGCTTCACTTCCATGATTCCAGGGAGTGTAGTGATGATGGTTTTACCTGCCTTCTGCCTTGACAGCAGACCAACGCGAAAACAACAGTTCCGCCTGAACTAGTGAAGCTGCCCTGCCAACCGAGGAACCTCGGCATCTGCGTCTTTGAGGGGTATGTCCTTCTCCATGATTTCGCGGCCTTCGATCTGCAGCTGGCAAGAACAGAACTGGAAGAATTCCTCGGCTCTCCCAAGCACCAAGAGCTGTGTGAAAAAGAAATCTCCACAGCTCCTCCAAGCTCCAGCCAACCACTTGGGCCAGCTGACAGATCAGAAAGAGAAACCAAAGCAAGCGCCCCCCCAGTAACTCATCCAAGGGTCGTCCAAGGTGGCTTCGGGCATCGATTTTCCCGTCCTCGGAGCCTTCGACCGTTCACCTCGCGGACAGAGCGCGCGGCCGCGACGCCGGCGGGGCGACGCCGGCGTCTTCCGGTAGCCAAACATGGGCAAAAAGGTGCTTGGAAATGCCCATATCCAATTGCACAGTTCACTTATTTGTCATGCACACCAGCCAATCCATCCATCCCGCAAAAAGAGAGGAAGGAGAGAGAGAGAGAGAGAGAGAGAGCACTTCTTGGATTCCATGAGAGTGAAAAAGAAAGGATTCTGGCTCAAGTTCAACCGGACCACGCCGCGTGGCGGCCAACCGTTTGGGTCTTGAGGGATCCCGTCTTTGTTTTTTTTCCACTCTCCAACCTGCCGAGGGTGATCAACCCACCAGGTGGGGAACGAAGGTGCCGACGAACCGAGAGGTCAATCTTATCCCGCGGCCTCTTCCAAGTGCCCACTGCATACTCGCGGGCATTCGGTCGAATCTGTGGATATGACAACTAGCCGCAATTACGTAGATCAAAGTTCTACTCAGGTGGTCCCTCCAAAACCCCATTTTCCAGCTCAGGAACTAAGAGGCTTCGGTCCTGCCGCTTGCCCCTTCTTGAGCAGCGCCAGTCGTCCTCCCTTCAGGTCATATCTTAAATCAGCCTGCGTGTGCAAGGAACAAAGGCAAGCAAACGCACAAGCAGCATGCTGATGCTTCAGCTGAGCAAACTCGTGAGAATAAGTGAGCAAAATGACAATCCATCTCACCATACGGTACTTGGCGCCATCGATCGTGAGACGAACTGCTTCCTCCACAGTCCTGGGGCACAAGACTGCACAAAGGCATTACACAGTTCCGGATCTATTCGGTAGAACCGAGCGGTAGCACAGTTATATAATTATGTTGCTTTTTGTTGACCCTGTGTGGGAGCAAAGCTCCACAAAACGAGCTTTGAGCCGTGCGTCTTGCCATGGCAAGCAAGCGCTCGGTTCTCATAGAGCAGCTTCCCTCGCACAGCCTGCAGAAGCGTATCTCGGGCACCGCATATTGAGCTGTCCGCTGTCTTCAATCAATACAACTTTGCTGCATAACAATGGGATCAAAACAAAAGAACCTTGGGCTGTTGAGCATAATTGAGCATACATCCAATGCAAAGAGTTAAAAGAGACAAGTCAATCTGATCTTTCGTGGGCGTTTTTCCTAAGCACAGCGGCGCTGTGTTCGTCCGAAGTGTCCGAACATCGGACGAGCGTCGTTTCACCTTGTCGGTTGCTTTGAGCCTTGACGTTGGATCAAGCTTGGACACCTGCGGCCGCACACCGGTGCGGCCGAATGTCTCCAGTTTACCAAAAAGGAATGTCTCCACCCATGAGAAAGCAATAGCAACGAGTGTTTGATTCAAAAACATCTCTATATATATATACATAATGTGTCACTAGTTACTAGTTGCAAGCACTTGTTACTAGTAGTGTGAAGCACTTACTTGTCTGCGTGTTTCTACCCTACCCACAAACTGATTCATAGGCTGACTGTCCACACGCGCCGTGCATGGTCAGGTGCCTTTTTTTGTACAGATTTCGCCTTGTTGACCATGGCGAGTGCCAAAAAACGAGGTGTTTTTCTTGAAAGGCACCACCACGGTTCGCAGTCTTAGAACCTGTCGTTGCCACGAAATCCTCGGCTAAGTCCTCTCTAAATCGATCTATACAGCCAAAAGTTCCACGTTGGGTCCTAAGGTCTTTCTCATCTTAAGCAAAGGTTCCTTCTGGCACCCCTTGAGCCGAAACTCTGCCACATGCTGCTTAGCGGCTTAGCGTGGTCTGCCACAGAGGCTGCACCAATTTTCCAGCTGGAACGTATCGACAACTGCTGCAGAAGATATGCGTAATTGTAGATGAATATGCTATAAAGTCGGCTTTTGAGGCCCACTATACTATACAGTTCATGAAGAGCCTGTTCTCAAGCACTTGTTCTATTCTTCGCAAGAGCAATGCATGGCGCGCATTGCGAGGAAACAAACTCACAAGCTCATACAGCCATCCCTGAACTGAAGTTGTTTTCCCGGAATTCGAAGATCGTTTGAATCAGGGAAACTTGAAACCTGAAACTGCGCGATCAGTGCTCAACTGGCATTCCCACCCCAATTCAACCTGCGAAGCTCGACTGCCTTCCAATTTGCACACCTGTTCCTCCAAATCCTGTACATCCGGCGTCTGGCACTCCCAATAGCTTCATGATTCAAACTCGCAAATGGAACCTCCGAAATCCGTATTTAAAAGCGTCGACTTCAACAGCTGCTCCTCCAAATCTTGGTACACATTTGGTTTCTAACACCATTGGCAAACGCATACGGCTCCGCAGGGCACCAACACCCTTTCAATTCACCAAAAGCCTCCGAGGCCCGTCCCGGGCCTTCGTGCGGGACCTCTACATCTGAGGTGCAAGAAAACGGTTGGCAGAAAATCTACGTGAGGAACAGTTGCCTTGCCCGAGACATGACCCATTCTACCTGTAACGAAACGTTCCTGAAACCTCAGGCTGGCTCTCGCAGCTAGGAGTTGGCCACCAGTCGCTTCGCTGAAATGCGCCCCAATGGGCTCTGGAAAGCGGCGGACCTCACACGAATAGAACTTCTTCGAGGCTTCTTCGAGGCTTCTTGGAGGTTGCAGTAGGGCGGCCGGAGCCTGAAGAACTCATATTTCAAGTCGTTACCCTTCTCCCAGGGTCACACACGCTCAGCCTCCTGAGTAGCACACACCGATGAAACCTGAGCCCTGTCTGATAGACGGATGAAATTGGTAGTTCTTGACCAAAATCAGAGCAGGACAGCACACGGAGCATTGTGTCGACGACCATGTGGAAGACCAAACCCCAAACCTACACCCTCCAGTGGGAAGGTCCAGTGTTCGTGTGCGGATCTGGGCACTTCCAGTTGTGCATCGCCCATCACCTCGATCTCAGGCGCGGAGATCAGCCTTGGGAGCACCGGTGAAGGCATCAGCCTCGAACATGCGACCACAGCCAGCCAAAGACGACCTCTCCCCGTGCCACGCGATCCACCACGCGATCCGCCTGAGGCGCATTGGTGCATGCCTACGCATCCGCCACGCAGCCAAGTAGCGCTGCCCACGGGCACCATCTGTGGCGGCGCAAGAGCCTCCTGACATCGCCGTCCTCCGTCCAGGACCTCGCCTGCGTCGCGTCAGAAACACACAGGACATCTCAACAGGGAGGTCTAGCTGAACATCTCCAGATTCTTGCCGTTCCAAAACCCATTCTGTTGATTGCAAAGGAGCTTTTCCATTCTTTGCCGAACATCCCCCATCATTACCCCAGCAAGTCCGAAAGGAAGGTAGCTTGCATTCAGCGTCTTTCAGCATGTTCCTGGAGTCTTGGCTTTCACTTGATTCTTCTTGGCGAAGTACTCACATCAAGATAATACTCTCCGCAAAGCACTGTGTTTCTCCGCAAGTGTGCCAGTCAAACTACTTGAAACTTCCAACTTCCTGTTGTCCGGGCTGCGTTGAGCACCGGGAGAGAATACACCTACGCCCACCCTCCTCCAACCCTCAGTGACAAGGGCCATAATGTTCACAAAAGAATCAATTGGGGACGGCCGGGCGAAGATTCAGCTGGGAGGAGCACCTCCCCCTTAACACTTCTGGCACAAATCCTAATAAGGGTGCCTACGTTAGATCTACATCTGCCCCCAAAAGCGGGATTTGTGCCGGAAGTGCTGAGTGATGTGTTTCACACGGAACCGTGATCCAATCCAACCCTCTCAGCAGCAGCAAATCATTTGGGCCATCCGGCCCATGAAGTCCCTCAAACTGGAGCCTGACGCGAGGAAAAAGTTCTTGAACGGAAATCCATGTCCGCTTTCGTCCGATATATTGGCAGGTGCTGATTCGGGTTGGAGGTCCTTGGCCCTTGGCCTCTACAGCCACTCGAGGTATTCCGTATTCCAGTAAACCAAGTTCATGTCCATAGGATATAGGACGTCTGGTTCACGGTAGCTTTTCGTACAAGGCGGAAAAAAGTGGGGGCGGACATCCTTAAAAAGAATGATTTTTGATCACATCCGTTGACGGCTGCGTGTTAATACGCTATAGATGCTCCGGCTCGCTCAAAGATGCCCAAAAACATCAGCAAACCAAAACGCCTTCACACCATCCAGAGCACCCCGCACAAATCCCAAAGCCGGGCCTTCAAACAACGGAAGTCTTCCCAAGCACCCCCCCCAAAACAGCTTGGGCCTGGTGCTTCAGCTTCTCTAGGGCCTTGGGCCTGGTGCGCCCGGCTGGGGCCCTCAGCTTCTCGCCACAGCAAGCGCCCCTGGCTGCGCACCTGCAGGCCGATGGCATTCCGCTCATCTACGATGCGCCAGGTGGGGTCCTGCTGCTTCAAGAGCTCCCGCGGTACGGGGCCCACCGGGCCGGTGCAAGCGGTGAAGAGCTTGCGGATCTTCCTGAAGCCAAATAAGCGAGCTTCAGTCGGCATGAGCTTCTTGGACTTGGGGGAGGAGGAGGAGGAAAGACTTTGGAATCCAAAACGAGTAGATAGTAGTTAGTGTAGACGTATAGACTACTGAATAGAGATGTCTATGGAATAAGCAACCTTGGATAGGCAATGAGAGGTGCATTGGGCGACTTGCATCCCACCACTGGCTAATGGAACACATCCTTCTGACAACGCAAACTGAAGGGCTGAGGCAATCATCTTGTGTCAGCGCAAGGGCATGCAGACTCTAACTCATTTGCCTGGTGTGATCAGTGGATCAACATCTAATCTGCACCCGAAATGATGTCAATTCTCGCGACTGTCTAGAGTTATTGAAGGGTGTATATATATATATAAGCGGCGAACGAGCTCGAACAAAAATGGAGAGAGACGTTTGAGAAACACGTTTTAATGGAAGGCGCGACTGGTTTTTGCGAGGCTTTGTAAGCCAAGAGCTTCCTATTGATCTCCCCTCCCTCCCTCTAAACGTCTTGCTCTGAGCTGCTTGGAGTCGGCCTCCCATCCAAAGAACTCCCCATTGATGCACTTGATGAAGTTCCACAAGGAGGGTGCCATATAGTCGATGAGCTTCGTGAAGTGACCCATCAACGCCTCAGCGGAGGGGGGTAGGGCTAAAGCCACCCAGGTTGGATGACCATGGATGACACTTCCATGAATGAAACCCGCCCGGAGCCGCACTTCTTGAGGGCTCCGAACATCCGCACCCAGGCGCCAGATACACCGCCTCGTGAGCCACCCAGGCTTGGACCAGCATGTCGGAGGCGGGTTTCTGCCGCAAGCCCGGCTTGTGCGGTGACAAGAGCATCGTGCAGGCGGTTCCTGGTGTCGGCTCCGCGGTCGGAGTGGTACGGACAGACCTGGGCTGGTGGGTTCAGCCAAGTCCTCCAGACATAGACCTGGGCTGGTCCGCAGAGGCCTTGTCACATCAGCGGTGCTTCTTTTGTGGGACTTTACCCCGTGGGAGTTTTGCAAAGGCATGGTGGTTGCACAGTTCTCAACACGTCCTTGACAAAAGCTTCGTGGTGAGAAAAAAGAACAGAAAATGGAAGTCAACTAACGGAATCCGTTTGCTTCGTGCCATTGTTCTGTAGACTGTCCAGGAGAACAGTCTCCAAAACATGGTCAGTGGCTCATGTTTTCCCTCATGTCGCAAGTCCTGAGAAAGTCTCAGCCGGAAAGAACTTCACGTAGTCCATCCGCAGCTTGCAGCGCTGGGCGCCCAGCGCGAGCCTCAAAGCGTTGGCGTATTGGTTGATCGAAGCGACGTACAAGTCACTCCGCCCGAAGTGGAGAAAAGGACAACTGATCCAACCTGCTGAGTAGATATCGCTAGAACATCATCCTTTCCACCAGCCAGTTCCTCTCAACTTCGTTTGATCGGCCAAGCCGAGCACAGCAAGTCACTTGCATTGCCAGTCCACCCTGGCCCGTCCAACGACACCAAGCTCGCTCGCTCAAGCTTCACTGCAACCTATCACTCAACAAGTTCTGATGCCCAAGCCAATGACGTTCCTTTGGGATTAATCAAGGGGTCGATTTGGGAACATCTCACTATTGACTATTGCTTGTTTCACTTGGTGGTATCGCCCTTACTCATCACCCAACGAACAACAAAAGGGAATCTGTGCAAGCAACAACTTGCCCATCATCGAGGCATTACTGGCGAGCCCCACGCGGCCAAGTTGAGACCATGCGGATTCCATCATCCTCCTGGCGGCGACGCGGCCAGGGGTTTTGCGGGCTCCACCGTCACCACCCAGAAGACACCTGAATGAATGAATGGAACACGGCAGAAGATGCCCACGCTGGCGTTCATTGGCACAAAGAGACCAGCAACACATGTTCAGAAATTATTACTAGGTTGGGGATCAAGGCTCTATATCCACCAAAACGTGAGGTTCGCCGTACCAAACATGCGAAGCAAACACCCCCATCAACCCGCCACGGTGGCCCACCACAAGGGGTGCGACCCCTTTCACCTCAGAAGTGCCCCAGAACGGTGCCCACAGTCCTCAGCTTGCTCTTTTCCAAGCTCAAGCGTGGATCTACACTTCGGCTGGATTCGTAGACCTGCAGTTGGCCGTGACTCTCTGAAAAGTGATCAATCAAAATAAAGTGCCGAAAACGGAATAGAACCCACCAAGCCGCTGCAGCTTAGTGGGACCAGGTTTCAAAACACACATATCGCAAGTTCGCAGTTGAGAAAACATGAAATCCTCAAGCTCATCACCCACCTCGAAGTAATCCTCATAGATCAGGGCCCCTTTCGAAGCGTTGGCCTCCTCAGCCACTTCACTTAGTGGGTTCTCCCAGTCAACAGACTGCAGGTAAAGGCCAGAGAGCATCACCCAAACCTGGAGAAAAGCTTTGCTGGCTTGCAGGGTAGTGGCGAGACTTGAGACTCATGTGGTTTGGAGGCTTGTGTCGCTAAAGAAGAATGCAGGGGGGGGCATCTGAAGCAACTCAAAATGTTTGAAATCCACCTCCTCCGCTGCATGCACTATTTCATCACTGAAAGCTCGGTGTGCATCCCGCGCCTTCCCGGCACCCCAGCGCTCGCTGTGGAGTGCTTCACGCTGGTCGAGCAACTTCATCTCCCTCACTTTGGGGAGAAGGCCGGGCGCCGTGTTCGCCAAAGCGTCGCAGAGCACCTTGCCGTCAGCCTCGCTGATCGCAAAGCCTGGGCACAGCGGCGCGGCTTCCGACACAACACACACCCAAGGAAACGAAGTGAATGGAAGGAGACAAAAATGAGCCCGAGCAAGCTGTGGTGGGCACTTCCTATGGGCGCAAGTGGTACAAAAGAAGTACAGTAATTCGTGGGACAGCTGTTGACCCCGACCAGGTATCGAACTGGATGAGTGAATGCAACTTCTCTCATTTGTCAAGCTCTGCTGATGAGCTCCAGAAAACGCCACTGAAGCTCTCGTGAAAAACAGGAAAGCAGTTCGCTCTGCTAGCTGAGGGACAGGGGATCTCAGTGGGATCTGGCACGCTGTAAAGCATGGCACCGCCACCACCGATCTTGATGACCGCGACCGCGCCAGCTTGGTACGCCTCTCGTAGTATCGCACCATCAGAGGTAGTGCCCGGCTTAAACTTCTCAGCCAAGATGGCGATGCCTCCCTTCAAGTCCACCTTCCAACCGCCAAGGATCAAAAATCAGAAGACGCATCAAGCGGTCCTATAATATTCTATATTCTCCGTCAACCTCCATCAATTTCTTCCTCCCAGCTTCAATCCCACCAAACGGACCAAAACCCCACCAGCCATGACTGGAGCTCCCCTCCCAAAGCTGACTCTCCCTCCCCCCCTCCACCCAGCACCGAGGAGACGTCGTTCTTGGGCACGTGCACCACACGCTTCCCGCAGAGCTCGGCCCACGTCACGTGGTTCGCGAAGACCTGGGCCGCCGCAGGCAGCCGCAGGCCCTGGGGAAGCACGCGTCGGACGCGTGTAGCGCGGTCGGAGGGATCATGAAAAGAGGTGTGCCCGAAGCAACGGGGAAGGGATGGGATGCCGAAACAAGATGGCATCGAAAGACGGAAAGACGCAGGGACAAAAGGCTGATAGAGGCCATATACAGGAAGAGATGGAAATAAAAAGCAAGCCATCAGGCCATGTCAGGCCACCTGGCATGAGCGATGTTTTCTGGGATACCAATGGTCCCAACTTTCTTTGGCCCTGCCTTTTGATTGGGGAAGTCCACGGTGACCTCAGCCCATGGCCCTCCTGTAGGCTGCCCCTCATGGGAGCAGGAGGCTGGACCGAAGCAGCGAGCATGGCAGCTGCAACCTCGTTCGGCTTTTCACGAGAGGCTCCACATATTCGGGGGTTGGAATGAAAGGGACAACTGGAGAAAGAAAAGACCATCACTTGAGTGGCCCAAAGACCAGGCCTCCTGGTTTTGTTTTGGAGGTCCTCTGCAGTTCGCTCCGCCCTTGGGCACCTCACAACACTCCCAGCCACCTGGCCCCTGACCCAACCCCGACCCAACAACTCCCAGGCACGGAATGGGCAGTCGCCACTTGGTGGAGTGTATGAAACCTGCAAGGGTGTGGGGGTCCAGTGGCTCAGCATCCCAATCATATTGAACATGTTTGAGGCACCAAGTCCCACCACTTGCCCTTTTAAAAATCCAAAAAAAAACATGCAGCAGTGGTGCAGTGCTACGTTTTTGCCCTATTCCTGCCTGGAAGCTCACCTCCTCTTCGTTGACGAGGTTGAACGGGATCCGCGAACGCGTGGCGAACTCACCAAAAAGGGGGGAGCTGCTGCGCACCACCAGCGCCCCATCGCTCGTGACCCTGGCAGCCCCCAAGGTTCTCTACGAAAGCTCCCAAGCCCAGAAGGGCCAGGAGAAGAAAAAAGAGGGGCAACAAAAGGGAGAAACAACAACTTCCTTATCTTGGGACAGGTTTGAGTCACACTGAGATTGCATCAAGTCCACCAGTATGCACCTCCGTGTGCTGCCGGTGTACTGCCGTCCAGCCCGAACGTACACCGGCGGGAACGGCCGCGCACCTGGAAGAGTTTTCGAAGGCATTCATGCCTTCACACAGCGCTCGAACAAATGCAAGCGCTTCCTCCAGGCTATCCTCAGGTGCGGTGCGCCGCTTGGCGCGCGGTCCGTTCTTTGGCACCCCTCACGCATTCTGGCCGCCAGATTCTATGTCTACGTCCTTTTAGATCTTTCTAATTTATAGTAAACTCTCGGGTTCCAACCAGGCATCCTGCTGGACGCCGTGCACCAGGCGCTGTCGTGCAAGACGTTCAAAGCCTGGGATTGGCTGACACGACCAAAGACGACACTTCTGAAACTTCTGACCCCATACTAAACAGAGATATGAGATATGGATGTGGATCTTTTAGGGACACCCACTGGCCCAAAGGGCTTTGGTATGAAATCTATTCTATGTTCTTCCACGACGTCTACGGGCACACACACCCGTAGCCTGGACGGGGCCTGCGTAGCCTTCAAGCCTTTGGACGTGCAAAAATTTTGAGAGATCCAACGGACAGGTCAGAAAGCAAAGAACGGTCCGGGTCGACTAGTAACAAGTGCATCGCTACTAGTAGGGAAGGGCATCGCTACTAGCAACAAGAAGCTACTAGTAGCCATAAATCAGGCCACTCTCAAGGTCCTTCATCAAAACGCCCTCGCCACCGGGCGCCACCGGCGCACCGGGCGCCACCGGCGCACCGGGCGCCCGTTCGCCGCGCGCATTCGCCGCCTGCAGCGGCTGCTCCGCTCAATGACTCGAAACATGGCAAGGCTGTGGAGCAATGAAGCGATATTGATATGATGACGACCTTTTCTTGTTCAAGAGCACCCACTCCCCCAAAAAAGTATTTCGAACAATGGAAAGAGATGGTTCTGTTTAAAAAGAGCTGAGGAGGTGCCTTTTCAGTGTCCTTGGGCGGTGGACCTTTTTCGTTTTTGGCCCACTCATAGGCGACGAAGACCAAACAGGTCAAGGAAGATGTCGCCAGGCGATCGAGCCATTTGCTTTCCTTCAAGCCGTTGGGCAACATGGCTCGCTGGATTGCAGCGTGTGGTAGGGAAACGGCCCTGGTTTAAAGGTATCACTATCACCGTTGTGAGGAGGGGATGAACTTGTGCATCTTGTGCTGGATGATTTGGGGGGTGACGCTCAAGATTTCAGTGGGGGTCTGATTAGCTGGGCAGAGATCGGGGGTCAAAACATATCAGAATCATATCATATCTCATATCCCTCCATGTGCTGAAAGCCTCGCCGATGCCAAAAATGGTCATCTCCTCCGAGTTTTCCTTGAAGTCATGTGTAAACGGTGTAGATTCAGGTAGTGCAAAGGTCGAAAAACGCACGTGGCTTGCAAGTGGCTTGCACCCCAAATCGTGCAGCCGTGAGCCCTGCACACCAAGCTTCATACCACTGCTCAGGCTTTATCTCCACTTTCACCTCCTTCGGATGTCGGAAAGTCAACAGCCTTTGCAGGCAAAGACCGCATGGGAATTGGTGCACCTACGCATGGAAACCCCATCATTCCAAAGCCTAGTAGGTCAGCAATTGCCACACCATGCACCATTGTCATTGGAACAGCTCAAGTCCTCTACCAATCACGCATGTGGCATGCCCCAGTCAACTCATCTGGCATGCAATGCAAACAAACATCTCAAAACAAAAGATTCAAAAGGTGGCGGACGCCCATCCGCTGCAAAGATTGGCCTTCAGGGCTTAGCCTATTCCCATTCTATGCAAAAACACTCACCGGCCCACTCCTTTGCAGTCTTCAAATTGGCACCTTTCCCATCGCTTAGCTCCCACACAGAAAGGAGCGTGAACGCCAATAGCCACCAACGACCCATGGCGAGGCAAGGGGTTTTGAGATCTGGTGGCTCAGCCCGGCAGACTTTCACGCAGACGGAAAACGGTGCGGATGGAACGGGCATGAAAACGAACGTGCATAGAGAAAGGTGTGACAATCACTGGCTTCGAAAAAAGAACACCAACCCTTGTGTGACTTCGCTTTACATGTATGCTTACAGTTCAGCACACGGAAAAGAAAGAGAGCATGGTCCGTACGTTCACAAGTCTTCTCGATTCTCACCCATGACTGCCCGCCCACACGGAAAAAACTCTCAAAAGCATCAGCCTCTAAAGAAGCCAAATGGACCGCGAGGAAAGATTCGGCTACCGCGGCATATCCAGGCTGCTGCTGCGCTGCACTTCCTCATGCCACTGAGCCACTGAGGCGGAGATGCCGCGGAATTTCCGGGGGTACCTGGCGCTGGATGTCTTTGAGTTTGGGATCTTCTTCCCGATGAACGGAACAGGTGTCCTATCGGAATGGTGTTCGATGATTTATCGATCCAACTTGGGGAACAGGTGTGCTTCTTTGTACGCATGCAGCGTTACTCTACTTTCCTTGCCAAAATCCAAAGCTTGCAAAAGCGAAGCACCCGACCCTTTCAAAAGCCCTCCCCAAAGCACCAATGATATGCTTCTTCCCTGCTTTATGCTGCTTTGCTTCTTTCAACCTCACAGTGGCGGCGCCTTTCGTACCCATCGGCCACAGCCAGCGGCCATATTCAAGCAGTCAAATATCCTTTCATCTGGTCTGCACATTTGAGCTTCTTGACCACTAAGACACCTTGCCGATTCATTCTACCAGTTCCATCCCTTTGCCATTGATGCTCAGTTCAGCGGGCTCTCGCTAGAAAGAAGTACGACGAGTCGACGAGTAACAAGGGATTCTTGGGTGGCGTCCGACATCTGTTCTCGACTCGGGCACACAGGACACATCGTTTTTTCTTGTTCATGGACACCGCCGCTTCGTTCCACCTTCGACCCTACCAGGCCTCACCGACCAAGCCACGACGTCGTAACACCACCTGGGAAACCTACGTCGTAACACCGCATGGTAGCAGCATTGCTTATGACCATGAAAAACGGGAACCGGCGTATGGACAGCGTAACAACATGCAACCATTCCGCCTGGCACATGATCCCAACAAATCTTGAGGGTCGCAGGTGTTCCAAATCTCGCATGCGTTGTTTGCGTACCCCAGGTGAGAACGATTCAAAACATCTGTGGCCTTTCCTGACATGAGTCATGGCTCCAAGAGCGTAGGGCTCTGCAAGCGCTTCTCACGACTCTTTTGTCATCGCAATTGTGTCACGTGGACGAGACCCCGGTACCCCGCACAGTTCTGTCCAAGCGAAAGCCCGGCAGACTGGGCGTGACAACGAGACAGCCAGTGCCCATAAAGCACGGGCCATGTCCCTGCAAAGCCTTGTTTTGAGGGAAACTTGTCAAGAAGAAACCGCCGGCGTCTAAGTGATGGCTTTCATCTGCTGAACCGTGCCCATCAAGGCTGCACAGGGCTCAAATAAATTGAACACTCAATTCGTGGATGGAAGAAGCCCTCTTTCTGTCCCATACCAACCAACAAACCAAGAGAACAAATCTGTAATGACAATCTCTGGCCCCATGGTTCTTTTCGACTGGCCTCCCCGCATGCTCAACCAAGGCACCTGGAAGTGTATGATTTAGATTCTGAGACAAAATCCAATCCGGGCATTCTGTCCATCATTACCTAAGCTGTGCCAAAACTCAGCTTGCATCGGCCGCCGGAGCAAAAGCCCCACTCAGCTCCTCCAGCTCTTCGTCACTGGGACCAGAGCCACTTTTAGTGGAAAGGTCACTTGCGCTCGAAGAAGCCCTCTGTCCTGTGAAAATGTCGATTCCCCAGGGTCGGAGGTCCGAAGACATACTTGCTTGATTTACTTGCTGTTGAACGCCTCTTGGAGCTTCAACCCTTAGGCTTATGATTTGCGCTCAACAAAATATAACAAAAGGCTTGGGTAACTTATGAATCATCCAAAGATCTCTCGTCTTCCAGGAATTCGTGTTTCTGCATGGACCAGCTGCAAGGCGCCCGATGTTGAGGCTCCACCTGAAGATGGCAATGAAGTAACGACATGGCCGCCTGCGACAAAAAGGGTGGGTAGCGCGCATCCCCCACGAGGACCTTCTCCTTGATCTCCTCACCGAGGGACAGAGAGGAAGGCAGGGTAGTGTAGGGACAAAATTCAAGAGTTAGGAAGAATTAACTTCAGAGGGATATGTTTTCCCTCGATCCTTGGTCCAACATAGGATGCGGAAAGAATCAAGAGCTACAGTAGTTCTTTTCAACTTGTTAATTCGCGAAGAATTAACTGTGGTTTTGATTCTTTTGCAGTGTGGTTTCATTGACCGTGGCTTGGGGCAAGGAGAATGTCTGCTTCAAAGTCCTCTTGGGAAACTGGTGACTAGGTGGTGGTGCCGATGCCCCATGCCCTGGGTCTTTACGTGACTTCAAAATCCATAAGTCAAGCAAATTCAATCTCCTCGTGGCTGCCCCAGAACGGGGGATGGCCCACTAAAACCTCATAGAACAAGCAGCCCAAGGCCCAGCAGTCGGTCGAATAGCTCTGGGGCGCCCGAGACCACTGCTCAGGTGCCCAGAATTCGGGCGTGCCACACGTCGTGAGGAGCAGTTTGTCCAGGGTCGCTTCGGCACTCCAACCGAAGTCGCAGATGCGCACATCGAACTCGGGGAGGCTCAAGAGGATGTTGTCCGCCTCTTGATCCGCGCTGGGCAGAAGGGCGGTCTGTGTGAGTTGGGTAACAAACCAAACAGAATTTATATATGTTGATGGTGAATGGTGAGAATATGTGAGAATGCTCAGACACCAATCTCTGACTTGACTAAGGTCAGAAAGGGGTTAGGTCGTAAATTGAGACGCCTTCCTCACAGGGCTACACCGAAACATGCACTGAAAAAATGTTTTGTCTCCGCTCGTTGGCTGATTCACTGGCGAAGTTCCCACACCGGTCGGTCCCACCGAACCTTCAAATCCCGATGCACAAACCCATGGCTGTGCATGTGGTCCACCCCCTGCAGGATCTGAAAAATCAAACGGGCAGCGTCAGGTTCTGCGAGACGCTTGGCTGGCTGAGCCTGACATAGAGACCTCACTTGGATTTCCAGGTGCACGCAGGACCGGGCCCCGGCGGTTAAAAAGAGTCAAGGGTCAAGAGGAAAAAAAAGAAGGAATGCCACGAACATTGGAGAAAAAATCACATCTGCTAATTTTGGGATGTTCATGCGTGATGGCGTGAACTCATGTTTGACCAACATGCCCTTCTCATTCCTTCTCACTGCCATTCTTGGGTCCTCTTTGGCCATGATACCTTAAGGTCCCGCCGCCGCAAAACTCCAAGAGCATGTAAATGTAGCGATCATCTTCCACAATCCTGAACTATTCCCTGGCCCAAAAAGAATCATTGAAGAATTGAAGAACAAGCACCACAAAAAATACAATTGCCCACTCTTAATTACTGTGCATGATACTCCGTGAATTTGTGAGTACTAAGGAGGGAACACAGCGACACACTGATTAAGGGTCATCCAAAGCATGCACTGAGAGCACCCAAGTTTCGACATCAGCCTCAACAAATGCTTATGCCGCAACGCACCCTGGATTCCAAGTTCCCTCTGCATTTGTGGAAGCCTCATGAGCCCAGGAGTTGCTTCGATACTGGATCTCGTATCTGCTAAATCGAGCACTCCAAGCGATGCTCAGCTGTTTTTTTGGAACAAGCTCTGACAACACGATTACGTTTCAAGGCACCGTGTTAAGGCAATGGCAAGGGCTGACTTTCACAAGAGAAACGACGTGTCAACCCGTTTGATCTTTAAGTTGTTTTGCACTCAAACACTGTTGAGGGAGGGGCATCTGTCGAATCTCCAATGGCTGCTTCTCCACGATCTTCAACGCCATCTGGACATGGACAACGATCCCATGAGTTAGAATCTAAAACGACATCACAAATAAAATGTTTGGGAATGTTTCTTCTGTTTACCCTCCACTGGACAGCCGCACTGTTTTGTTAAGGTTCCCACCTCTCTCCCAGTCTTTCTGTGCCGCAGCTTGCGCACAGCCGCATATGCGCCACTGCCCAACTGCGGTGCCAAAACGTCCAACTCAAAGCCACAGGCGTCAAGCTGTGGGGGAAGCTGGGCGGACTGCGCAAGTGGCATGCGGGTAAGGCACATGGGTGGATCTGGCCTCACAAGCAAGTCCGGATTCACTCACACCATTCATTATAAAACTGGGGTCATAACTTTTGATAACCCAACCGTCTCATCAGCCAACCCACCCCTCACTATCAGGAAAGGCCATTCTAGTTTCTTAGCCAAAAACAAAAACTACACCAGCTGATCCTGTTTCAGGTCGCAGGATCAAGCGTGGCACTGCTGGAATCCGGTCCCGTGCCGAGGCAGTTTCACCCACATCTGGCACTGCTAAGCTGCGAAAGCCTTGCGGAATGGCTTGGGAAACCGGGACCGGTTTGGGCGTCAAGGACAAGGCCGGCGGTTCTGGCGCTGGCGCCGTGGCCTCCGCCGAGGTCTCCACCGCGGCCTCCGTTGTGGCCTCCGCCATGGCTTCTGCCGTGGCCTCCGGCTTGCCCTCCGCCGTGGCCTCCGGCTTGGCGTCCGGTGGGGCCCCCGGTGACTGGTCGCCGTCGTCGTGGTGCGTCCACATCATCGATGGCAGAAATGTTTTCCTTCGATAGATTTCGTTTCTTCCTGGCTTTCGGCCTGGTTCGGCGCCATGGCTCGAAGCGCACGGTTCGGACAATTGTTTATTTTGATTTGTGTTCTCTCGCTCTCTCATCGACAGGATCGCTAAACACGTTCTGTATGTGATGTGTGCTTTTCGCGGCTTTGTTAACAAAGGTGCTGGCTTGAGCCTGCCGCAGTCAAACGGCCAACCACAATGATTGATTTCAACACGTGTCACCGCCACAGCTGATGGGTTTGCCCAACTGGTGAGGTCGAACAAACACGGTGCACACTAGTGCTCGGGTAGGCCCGGCCCTTGCACAAGTTCGGCGGAGGCACCGGCTATGGTTTGGTCACATGTGGTTGCATCCTCGGTGGGCTGGGGCCCCAGACCCCGCAACGGTAGTAGCAGGAACCAGCTGGTTTGAAGGTCCTAAATTGTCTAGATTTTTGGAGATGGTTGCGACAAGCAAATCCTGCTTGGCCTCGATGTACCCCTTGGTGCCTTGGAGCCCTACCTAGCGCGGTCAGGCCCGACACCTACATAGTGAGTTGAGAGAAGAACAGGCCTAGCGGGCTAGCGGTTCGGGCCCTGGAATAACTTTAAACCCGGGCTTTGCCGAAGGTGCGGAAGGGAGGACTTAGCCTGACCAAAATATAATTGTCCGGTGCGGGTGGGCTGGATCGCCCGCAGGCCGAGTCGAATGGGCTGGTGGCTTGAGTGCAGGTCGGGTTGGGTATGTAAGAAGTCGGGTTGGTGCGGGTGGCACACGAGGTATGTTCTCAACATGCCTGAATTGAGACAAAAGAGCGAAAGGTGAAGAGTCACCAGGAACATATCAAAGCCACAGAATCCAAACGCAACAAGCCTGTGTAACACCGGGTGTTTGTCAACTTTGGTGTATGTAACAGCTGCGGCGTGTAAGACCTGCCTGGTGCTGGACAAATGCTGTCGTATGTCACATGCGGGCTCCGCACAAAGAGTTGCGGGTTGCGGGGAATGGTTGCTACAACATGTGTGGTCCTGGTGAGGTTTGTCAACACACCTTTGCGCGGAGGCCGTGTTGCGTCTATGCCGTTTTGTGATCCATGCGGTGGTTGAACGGTGTGCAAGCGCTCGCATGCGTCCATGCTTGGAGGAGTTTGACTAAAGCTTTGAAGCTCGCTTCTACAGTTAGAGGATCAACATTTTTGGGAACAGTTACTACATGGCCAATATTTTCAATGAACAGTGCACATCTTTGAGGGAACAAGTGTTGAAAGGGGAAAGTTCTCGGCAGAAGTGGGCCACCCAAGAAGAACCAGACCAGGAAATAGAAAACAAACGCTGACTGGTGCTTAGAAGGGAATAGGGGAATGAACCCCCAATAGGGATTGAATTCGCAGAAAGGAAAAGAGATCACCCAGAAAGGATACCACCAGACACTTCTAGGAACCCCGCTCTTGACAAGATGAAATCAATCCGTGAAGAATGATATGGATAGAGAGAACTATGGCGGCAGAGTGAACTAAAATTCGAGCGTTCATACTACCGAGAAGACAAAATTATACTGGAAACCATACCTAGCATGTAGAGTATGTATCTATAGGTTCTTTGATGTGACTACTGGCGCAGCACAAAGCACGCCAAGCCCCGCCACTCCTCCAACACTCTAGCACAACAGCCTTGATAGCCCAGGTGGTCACCACTCTTGACACATGCTGCCCAGCAAGCCTTTGCGGCATCCTTGCTGAAACCTCACAACGCCTCGCCCTCATACGACCACCGAAGGTAACGAGCCAACATTCAGCCAACTTCTTGCCGAAGCACCCCCCCCCAACCCCACAGCCAGCCGGCTCCCCCCACATTAAGCATCTTCTTCCGCAAGGGGTTTGGATTTTTGCCCCCCGCTAAGCACATCTGGAGACTGGCCAGTATAAACACCGTCAGCAGCGAACTTGACTTGGACCTCACGCGGAAAAAGGTTCGCTGGGAGGACAAAAGAGTTGCAGCCATTTGGGACTCAGGAAAAAAGTGCGCATAACCAGTTCTAGCACACAGCAGTCACGTATTGATGAGTCAACCATTTTGGTGACCAAACCCCCCTCGCCAGCACCACTAGCTCCGCCCACCATAACATGACATCTGCCTACGGACAGCCGCGCCAACAAGGCCCCTACAATGAGGTTGCGCAACTCGGTCCTCACGCAATGCATGCACGCCCGCGGGCTCTACAAACTGCAGGTTGGGGACCACGAACCCCACTGGGGACCGCGAGCAAAGCGTTTTTTGCAAATCAATGGATACTCCGCGACAAATTTGTCTCTGTCAGGGCACGCCTTCACTTTTTAGAATCTGTTGTGACTTCAGTCGCTTGCTCTGGAGCTGGATATAGGACTGTGCACCAGCAGGATTATTAAATGCAATGAATGTTGAATCTCTGATTTTTTTTTTGCTAACCCTTTTGCCGAGATCCTGCTATTTACATCCAGTAAAAAAATATCAGCAAAGGGGGAGCAAAACATTTCTAAACTTTTGCGTTCCCTTGTGGGCCCTCCTGGCAACATTTCTTGGGATCAACCTTGGCACGATATACTGCATCTTTGGAATGAAAAGGTATGGCGCTTGACCGAACTGACTTCGACAACAGATTGGGCGACCGTTGTCCTTCGTCCCCATTGGAAATTTGGCGGCTACGTGGCGCGGTTGCCAGAGAATCGTTGGACCAAACGTGTACTGAATTGGCGCCCTGCCAGCCGGCGAAAGGTCGGAAAACCATTTGCAACTTGAGACACTTACTTCGAAAAATTATGCAGGTACAACGGGTTGGGAACTTGGTATGTGGTGGCTGCTGATGTGGACTTGTGGCGCTCCTTGCTGGACGAGTTCGTGCTATTTTGTTTCCGGAGTTGATTTCATTTCCCGGGATGATGTTTTTGAACCAAAGAAGTTCTTGTTTTTCACCCCGCCTGCGCCCTAAATGGGCCGCCTTCGGACGTGCAGGCGCAAAGTCAAAGTCAAGTTATATTTACACCCTTCATGCCCCCCTCATCAACTGAGCTTAAGCGTATTTCCAATACACATGACCACTCCTTAAAGGTTGTTGACTTCTTGCATTCAACTGCCTTGTGTATTGCCTTAGTTGCTGATGCTGTTGCTAGCGTGCCCGGTGCTATAACGTGAGGGATTCTTTTAATCTCCTCCACCTTTCCTGACACAAATGTCCGGGGTGCAACGTGCAGCTCACAACAATTTGGCACCATGGTTTTCAAAGGCCCCCAATCTACGGCAAGCAAACTCAAAGTAGCCCTAACCAGGCTACGTTTCGTGATTTCATGGCCTCGTTGACTTGGAGTGCCTTATGCAGCTTGCAAAGCCAAGCCCATGCACCGCCAAGTTGCTTCCTCAGATGCAAACCTATATCGTCCCATTCGGAAATTTTTCGGCGTGGGAACAAGAAGTCCCGCATACGACGGTCAAATTTCTTTTTTTTTTGTCCGCTGAATACAACGCAGACATTGATTGAACACCAGGTCACCAAGTAAACAGCCGCATGCCGAAATCGGTGCGTAACTTGACGTGTTCTCCAGGTGGGCGCGCCTGCCCGTTGCCACATCGTCATGCCTGTTTTATTCCTCCCGCCGATGGCAAGCGGCTGGGAAAGGGGCCCCCGTCTGTGTAGGAAGTCAGGATGTCACAGAGGTTTGTGGAGGCGGGCGCGGGCAGCGTAAGGAGGCTGTTGGCAAAAAATCGCGTGGCAGTGGCTGCCAGGAGGGCCGTCCATCTCGGGAGCGGCTTGGCGGAGGTTGGGGGGGTTTGTCTCACGTCCAAAAACGACCAGTTCTGGGTACAAGGGAACCTTAGCGCAAGGCTGCACCTGTGCATTGGCCCCGGTGCCGTCTGTCGGCCTGCTGGTGTGAGAGAGGACACCACAATAGTGTCAATCGCGAACTGAAAACCATTCCAGAGGGGAGGGACATTGGCTCCAAATGTGCACGGGCAGTCGCGCTGTTGGCGCCCGAAACGTGCGCGCATCAAGGGTAGTGGCAGCCGGAGACGTCTGAGCAGCAGGACCCGGAATTGCGACGAACCCCGGATGAGCTCATGGGAGACAGGGAACAACATGAAAATGTTCGCTGCCAATGGCCCAGACTGGCAATCCAAGAGTGCTTGGGAAAGGCCTGCAAGATGTTCCGGCGATCTGTAGCTGGATCGTGTTGAAGACATGTCCTTTTTTGCGGCGCGCTAGCATGTGTGCACTGCGTTGTCGTGGCTCTGTGGCCAAGTGGGAAAACTCCGAGCATGAAACATCAACTCACGCCACTGCCGTGTGGAATCCTCCACCTGCACCCAGCCCGATTGAAAAGGAACCGATCCAGGGAGCTCCTCCGGCAGGTCCGGACCCGTGAGTCGGTCATAGCCCTAACCGTTCAAGGTCCAGCACAAACATTGACTCCCACAACTGTCCAGCCTGCAAAAACCATTTTCCAGTTCTATCACAACAACGTGTTAAAAATCATTGACCATCCATGACCTTCCAAAGATGTGCGTTTACCCGCCTTCTTTGTTATCCCTGTTCTTTGCCTTCTCACTTTGTCTAGTTTGTTGTCCTCGATGTCTTTTCGTGCTGGCCCCCCATTGGTTGCGCAAACTGTGCGAGCGTGCAACCCGGCGCGTAAGCTTTAAATGTGCCCACGTGCAGAAAAAGAAATCGAATGAAACGGCATTGTTGTGGAAGTGGTTCAAACTGTCGTCACGCGGTCTGTTTTCCAAGGAGGCATGAGGGTTTAGACGGTGTCTTGTCCCTCCGACTGTCTTTCACCTCGCTTGCTTTAGTAAAGTCACAGCCTGGATTTGTCACCAAGACTTCCTTTTGTTTCAAACTAAGGATGGCGAGCCGCACGGTATTTGGGCAATGACAGAGGGTTCTGGCACATCGGAACCCAGACGGTCCCCACCACCAAGCATCCCTTGTGATTTGTGTCTATGTTAACCGCTAACCGCGTTGTGGGCACGATCTGTTAGGCCTGCCTTTGTTGGTATACACCCAAGAGCACGCATTCTATTTAACAAGTATTTGTGCCATTTTTTGCGCCCTACC